CATTCAGTGTGACGTATTTGTCTGTACCAAGGACGTAGACTATTTAGATGCTTTAACTCTACAAATTGTATAAACATAATCATATACAACAGAATAAATACAATTATGATTATCCTTTTTTATAAATACTAATACTACATTCAGTGTGACGTATTTGTCTGTACCAAGGACGTATACTTTTGTCATTTTTAAACGTTGTATCCACTTTTTTCATTTATTTATGGTTATAACTAACTCGCACTTAATTTTTCTCTCCAAGAAAAAATATCCTGCTAGAAAAACCCAATTATCATTATTTTTTTGTGAATCATGCTCGTTTTTACAGTGGAGGAAAAAACTATTATTTCCGTACAAAATTAAATACCGTAGTTTCCAAATGAATCAGTCGCAGTATAGCTAAATACTAGTTGTTCTGACGTCATTACTTTGGTTCTCGATCACATCATATGGAAAGTTCGAACGTTCTCCCCTAAGTGGTAGTGAACTAGTCGTTGGAAACTTCATTGGCTATTACCGTCAAAGCCTGTGTGTGATGTGTACGCTCTGCAAAATTATTCATTAAGTAAGACCAAAATGGCGGCGCTTGTGGAAGGGCAACAATATGGTCTTTCTTCACAGGGAAGCAATTCTAGTAACAAATCGCTCATATTTGTAAAATTGACGGATTCAGGACTTAGATCTATTGAGGAATATTTGAAAAACAGAGTAAGTACACGAATTACTATTTTTATTAAATTTTAGAAGAAGTTTTTGTGAGAAGTGTACTCGTTTACCTGTTCAACCGAACTATTGACGTAGTATTGTAACGTTGCACTTACACTACAGTGAGCGTACTGACCAAAGTGTGGAGTGCTCGAGTGGCGTATGTCAGCTGATTGACTAGCTGACAGCTGGAGCACCGTAAAATTTGAAACTAGTTCAAAAATATCAAAGAAAGTTTGAAATTAAGATTAAACAGAATTTTGAAGTTAACAATTTCGAACTAAAAATTTTGTTGGGATTCAAGGGTAAAAACTAAATATTGTAGAGAGTCTATTGTATACTATATTACTATCAGTATCACTATCAGTGTATGGTGTAGAATAATTTGAAAATTTAGACATGCTTAGGTAAAAAAAATAAAATCCGTTTTGTGTTTTTTGAAGTATTATTTGAAGTTAATAACTTTTTAAATAGTTCCTACATTTTTTTGGTAATTACTTAAGTACATGTTTGTTGTTTGCCCTTTAAATTTTATATCATACTATCTTTGTGACTGGTAAAAATAATATTGTATTAAATAGATTAAAACATAGAAATCAGCCTCGTAAATAGGTAAAAAAACAGCAACGTAAGACATTACACTTGTATTACTGTACAATATGCATGATATTGATAGGTAGTCTTATGTTACTTAATATAATAATCAGTGACATGAATTGCTAAAAGTAAAAGAAGTTGGGAAAGTTGATAACCAAGATCATGCTATTAGATAAGAATTATCTAATAATGTTGATTAAAAAAGAAACAGTACAGGATATATAAAGATAGTAATATGCCATATGGATAGTTACATGTATATACGATTATAGTAACATTAGAAGGACAGTAATATTTAACTTCCGATAATGAGAGGTTGGGATTATTAAATTGTGATGGATAAAAATGAGGTCAAAGAACAGAATTTTTAAAGATACTAATTTATTTTAAGATCATAAAATCGTTTGATTCATCTTATTGAGAACTTGAAATTTTGTATGACTTGTATGAGTACATGTTGTGTTGGAAGGTGTCAAATCTACAATTGTTTATAATTTTATATTTGTCAAAAACTAATTACTCTAGAAAATTAGATAACTTAGTAGGTTAAAATGTCTATATATTCTAGATAAAAAACAAAAAACTTTTAATCACATTAATTAAGTTTTCAGAGGTTATTAAAATTGTTTGAAGGTAGTATACAATTGAGTTAAAAAAATAAAGATTTATGAAACTAAATTGAAACTTTATATCCAATAAAGTAACCTATGCAGTCTTTTCATGAAGACCTTTGAATAAAAATAATTTCAATATATATTTCCATCTTATACAAGGCTGAAACACAATCATTAGTACAAATTACTTTTGATGTGAGTTTTGTTTAAATTAGAATAAACCTACTTAGTTAGAGAAAATTGCTTTTCACAGAACGTTAGTTAAAACTGTAGGCTTATTAAATTGTGTGGTTTGTTTAGTTTTCTTGCACTTAATGATTTGTTAATTGAAATACTTTTTAGTCGCATACATTATTATTTTCTTAAAAGATAAGAGTATGGAATTAATATTGGTAAGACTGAGAATTTAATCTAATGTAAGATAGAAAATGTTACTTTATAAGTTGAATATTTTGTTTTATTATGATTATCAGTATAATCAGTTGAAATAATAAGTAGTATTTATGTTGTAAACTTTTATCTGACCTTAAAAGTATAGTGCTGACCTAGCTCACTTTTTTTGAATGATATAGCCAATCCTTTTTTTTTTAAACTTTAAGAGAAAGATACAATCACTTGAATGAAAATCAAAACATACTACTGTATTGACCAATTAGAAATTCAACAGAAAATGTTTGTAATTGTTGATATATTAAATTTAATTTATATGTATTTGGATTTTGAAAGCTACTTGTAATGTTACAATTAGTTGTTTTTATGGTTTTGAATGTGGAGGGTTGAATGTGGAATTCCAAGAACAAAATTATATTTACATAGCAGAGGACAAAAACAAACACTACTAGACATTCTTTAACAAGCAAAGACCTACATGCAGAGTATTTGCTACTTGAACAACTAGTTCCATCAGGTCAAGGGTTAGGTCCAAACCCTAATGAAAATAGGTAGCTCTATAATCAGTGTTCCTCTTGGTAACAAGCCTTATATGAAGCATAATGAATGGTATTGTTGGAAATGTTAAAGAAATTTTCAATATGTAAAATTTTGATGTTCTCAAAGCACATAGTGTGTGTTTTTATGGTGGTATGCAGAGTTTGTTGTATTTTTTAATGTTGTTTCTTTTATAATAGTGTACATTCACTGCAGTTTTAAATATTAAATTGCAAAAATATAGAACTCGGCCACAAGTTTCATCTTTTAGTGAAACTTTGAGTGCCATTGGCTTAATAATACTTATTTGCTTCCATACATTTGGTGTAACCCTATCAG